GACCAAATTTGCTACACTTATTTTTTATTTGTAAATTGACATAAATATATAGTTTTTAAATTTCGTATGTTTTTTATATAATAAAATATAAATATATCAAAATTCGTAATTTTTAAGTATGTATGAATATATATTCTAATTATGTTGTATCTGTTTATTATTTTTAAATTAAAATAAATATGTTAAATCATATTACATAAATCCCCATCACTTCTCACAAAAGAAATCAATCTGAGTCGTTTGTTAAAAGCACAATCTTCGTCAATTTGATTTTCACCGTTCATCACTAAAGCAATTAATCTGGTCCATTCTTTCAAAAAGCACTATTCATGTCAAATTGACCCCTAGCATTTATAAATACAACACACCAGAATTTTGTATCATCAAATCACTACAATCAAAACTTCCTTCTTATCCAAATTATCATTTCCACCAAAACTTTGCAAAAGATGTCATCAGATGAAAACTTTGATGAATGGCATGAAGGCCTTATACTTCAAAATCTTCAAATTGACTCACAAATGGAGAAAATTGCTTTTCGCATTCCTACTATATCTTTTCAGCCTACAAACACCGCTAATGAGCCCCGACGATGCTACATTGAGCGACAATGTGAGAAGGGCCATGAAGGGGTGTTCGAGCAATACTTTTCAGATGATCCAATATATCCTCCAAAAGTTTTTCGAACAAGATTTCGTATGCGGAAGCCATTATTCAAATGAATAATGAGTAAACTCCTTGAAACAGGAGAATTTTTTCAATAAAAAAGTGATGCAACTGGGAGATTAGGTATGTCCTCAATTCAAAAATGTACTGCAGCTATGAGAGTTTTGGCATACGGTACAAAAGCTGATTTGCATGATGAATACCTTCGAATGAGTGCACAAACTATTAGAAAATCTGTTAAAAAATTTGTGCAGGGTGTGATTTCAAACTTTGGTGATGAGTACCTCAGAAAGCCGAATGAAGGAGACTTAGCATATTTGTTGTATATTGGTGAACAAAGAGGTTTCTCAGGTATGTTAGGAAGTATTGATTGCATGCACTGGGAGTGGAAAAATTGTCCTGCTGCATGGGCAGGACAATATACAAGAAGAAACGGTAAGGAAACAATCATTTTGGAAGCCGTTGCATCACAAGATTTATGGATCTGACATGCATTTTTGGGAACTCCGAGGTCCAGAAATGATATCAACGTGCTTAACAGTCTCATGTTTTCAAGGATGTCTTGGAAGGTCGAGCACCAAAGGTTAGTTATATTGTCAATGGCCACGAGAAGAATATGGGATATGATCTCACTGATGGGATATATCCTCAATGGGAAACATTTGTGAAATCAACCAATCATCCACAAATTAAGAAGCACCAGCTATTTGCTCAACATCAAGAAGCAGCTCGAAAAGATGTCGAGCGAGCATTTGGGGTTCTGCAGGCTCGCTTCCATTTCATCAGACAACCATGTCTTCTGTGGGATCGTGACATGATGGGAAAAATAATGCTTGCTTGCATCATCATGCACAATATGATAGTGGAAGATGAGAGACACTCTTACTTAAACTATTGTGATCCTACAGAGTTTATGGAGGCTAAAAGATCTAATCCTCAAAATGAAGATGATGAGAATTTAAATTTTGAATGCTCTACGGAATGAATTGCAAGTTTATCTAGCTACATGACAAATAGGTCACAACTTCGTAGCAAAGAAGCTCACATTGCTCTGCAGAAAGACCTTACCGAGCACATTTGGCAAAAGTTTGGGCGTGAAATTTGAGATTTGTTTGTTATATCTCAATATCGTAATATTCTTATGTTGTAACTTCTCAGTGTCGTGATTTTTCAATGTTGTAATGTCTTACTAGTGTCGTGATTTTTCAATGTTGTAATGTCTTACTAGTGTCGTAATATTTCAATATGAGTGTCGTAATATTGTAATGTTGTAACTTCTCAGTGTCGTAATTTTCCAATGTTGTAATGTCTGAGTGTCGTAATATTTCAATATGAGTGTCATAATATTTCAATATGAGTGTCGTAATATTGTAAGTTCTTATTGTCGTAACTGATATTGTAATTTTCCAGGGTTATAAATTTCAGATATACAATTGACAATCCATGTGAAAAAGCACAATCCATGTCACTTTGATCTCCACCATTCAACACTAAAGTAAAATTAATCATATCCATCCATCAAAAAGTAATTAATCCTATCCATCCGTCGAAAAGCAATTAATCCTATCCATCCATCAAAAGCATAATCCATGTCAAAAGGTACAATTCATGTCAGTTTGATCTCCACCATTCATCAATAAAGCAAATAATCCTATCCATCCATCAAAAAGTAATTAATCCTATCCATCCGTCGAAAAGTAATTAATCCTATCCATCCATCAAAAAGCATAATCCATGTCAAAAGGTACAATTCATGTCAGTTTGATCTCCACCATTCATCAATAAAGTAATTAATCTCGTCCATCCATCAAAAAGCAATTAATCTCGTCCATCCATCAAAAAACAATTAATCTCATCCATTCGTCAAAAAGTACAATCCATGTCAAAAAAACACAATCAATGTTGATAAATAGAGACCTCATTTAGCATATTTCACACATACCAGAAAATCATCTCCATTTCATCTTCCTTTCATTACCAAAACTCTATTGTTCTCAATTTATCAATGGATCCAAGCAAGTTTTCCTCAAACACCGAAGATTATTATCCTAGCATTGAAAATCTTGATAGTCAAGATTTTCAAACCCATTCAAAACCTCAGTTTCCAATTGATCCCACTCACAAAAATATGCTAAAAGGTAGCGGTATGTCTGATGCAGATGTTGAAACGATAGCTCAAAAATTTTTCAGCGGCGAAAAAGGTACGAAGTTTACGCATCATGAAGTTTTTGAAAAGATTATGCGTCATTATCCAAAGTGGGAATTGAAATTGGGTGTTGAGCGTCATCGTACTCGCATTGATCGAGAATATGCTAGCGATGATGATGTTGAAGAAGATCGTAGAAGCTCCAAAAGATCAAGAACTACCGGAGGAGATGAGGACCCAAACGATGAAATCCAAGTTAGTGAAACTTCAACAATTCGTCGTCCTACTAGCAGAGACAAGGCGAAAGGAAAAAGGAAAGGAAAAGCTACTGCATCACAACCCCCAGTTGTTCCTGATGACTACACTGAAGCACTTAATGCAATGAGGATCACACGTGAGAAAGAAATTGAAGCAATTAACAAGATTGGAGAAATTAAGATGCAAAAATTAGCCTTGAACACGCTCAACAACAAAATGAATATGCTCAACATTTTGATGGGTAAAAGCAACTTGTCTCCTCAAGAAGAAGCTGTCAAAAACCGCCTTATGCAGGAATTATTCCCATGATGGTTTAGTTGGTATGATTGTGCTCTTTTTATGTAATCATCTATTTAATGTAATCGTCTGTTTATGTAATTGTCTAGCCAATGTAATTTTATTTTATGTACTGTCTGTTTATGTAATTGCCTATTTAATGTAATTGTTGTGGTTTTATTTTATTTAATCGTCTATTTATGAAATTGTCTATTTAATGTAATCGATGTGGTTATATTTTATGTAATCGCCTTATTTTAAATCAAATCAAATCAAATAATTATATAATAATATTAAATGAAAGCAAATAAAATAATTACTAAATAAAATAATTATATGATTATATTAAATCAAAGCAAATAAAAGAATTAATTAATAATTAAAACAAAATGAAATAAAAAAATATATAATAATTAAATAAAATCAAATTAAGAAAAAAGATGTTGCGGTTGGATGTTGGTGTGGTTGCTGATAAACTTGAAAAATTGAGATGGTGTGGTTGGAATGATTATTGATGATGTGGAAGAGAGATAAATTAATTAAATATTAGGGTGGTTGGATGGTTGGGTGTTTGGAACGGTTGATGTTATTCGTAGTCTTAGATCCTTGGTTTGATTCACCCTCCTGAAGAATAGAAGAGAGTAGAAGGTGTGCTACACTCACGAGTTGGACAGAATGGGAAAAAAAAAAATTACATCAATTACTTAAATATAGAAGTATACGCATATTTCATAAAACACAGTACGATAACGCTCAAATTCGTCGAACAATATAAAAGGATACTCGTATTTCACAAAACATAGTACGATAACGTTCAAATTCGTTAAACACACAGGAACGCAATATATTTTACCCTCTCATTATATCATCATACCAACTCGAGGTCAAAATGTGTAACACGATTTTTTTAGAACACACTACGAAAACAAGCGAATTTCGTTAAACACGTAGAAACACCACAAATTTTACGCGAATTCTTTAGACGAAAAAAAGCTAATTTCGTTAAACACATAGAATCAATCAACTCAAGGTCAAAATTCATAACATTCAACCTGTTTAAACTTTAACCAGACAGGGCGCGCGCAACGTATTTTACCCACCCATTATATCATCAATCAACTGAAGGCGAAAATTTATAACTTTCAACATTTAATTTAAATAAACCAAATAAGGCGGATAGCCATGCATCCGCGTAATCAAAAGAGTTGTCTTTCAGAGAAAATCACATACTACAAAAATCTCTAAGGTCCAGAAACCGCACGAGTACCTCCAATGTACGGAAAATAATATCTCAATCAATCATCTAATAACCACAGTCGCACAAAACCTAAATCCAGAAAACCATGACAAAATTCTGAACAACAAGAGGAAATGGTAATAAAACAACTCCCAGGAACCCAAAGTGCAGGGTCAGGCACCTCCTTCCTTGATCCCAAAATATATTTTCACCAACTGGAGCTCCATTCATTTTCTATTGCTTATAATAGCCTAATTGTCACGCCTTACAGACCTCCTCCTTGGGGCAGTCTCGTTTTGCTCCTCCTTCTCCTCTGAGCTTCCCTGGTTGTTTGAACTCTCAGCAACGTCTGTTTTCTTGGTCTCTGTACTTACCTTAGCCTGATTTCACCCAACAAGAATGAGGTAAGTAACATCTAAAGCAGAATGTGCGCAAACTACCGTTTTAAAATAAAATAATCCATAGATGGGGGACCAGGTACAACTTAATCCAAGAAAAGCCAACATTTTTTTCTCACCCATCATTTACAAGGCATTCATTCATAACATACTCCTTCGTCAAATTACAGAAAGAAAAGGCAATAAGCAATTACTACTACTTACCTCAGGCTTCTTCTTTCCACCAAAGATGAGCTTCAGGAGAATCGAGAAGAAAATCACAACAATCGAGACAATGACACCAATGGTGAGGTTGGGTTGTTTCTCAGCTTTCTCAAGTAAGTCCTGCAAATAGAGAGAAGGGAGAATTAATCAAATTTCAATAAGATCAATACGAAACAAATTTCCCGGAAAGCAAATCACTCACCAAGACTTTGACTTTGTGCTCGCCCAAGAAAGGAAGGTCGGCAACCTTGTAAAGGTAGTCGAACACCAATTTCTGGAACAATAAACACGAAGGCAACTTCATTTTAGCGCCACCAACAAGCAGAAACAAAAACAGAAAAACACAACATAGAACAACCCATGCATAACATCCACAAAGTACCTGAACGCCCTTAAGCCCATCAGAATCCACAGCATCTTCTTCTTTCTGCTTCTCCTTCTCCACCTCAAACTTTGGTTTCCAGGCAGCCACCCGCAACGACTCAGCGGCCTTCTCACTGGATGCAATCACGATGTTATCAAACAATATACCATCCTGCATCGTCCAAATCTCAATGCCAATGGCTGCAATTGGCTCAAAGTCTGGCTTCTCAAGCTCGAAGTACTCGGGGTTGTCGATGTCCCTTGGTTTCCAGATACCCTTGTAGTTGGGGTTATCAATAAGAGGAGCATGCCATTTTCCCTTGTAAGCAGGGTTCCTCTTCATTGGCCTCTTCCACTCCCCACACCCGGGAGCCTCTGCACAT